CGTCTAATCACAATAAAATATTTTATTAAATATTGAAATATTATTACTACAATTAACATTTAATATTTAAAATATATTAATATTTTCATTTTAATATTTAATAAAATATTTTATTGTGATTAGACGGTTAAAATTAAACAATTATAATCATCACAATATGACGCAACATTATCATCTTAAAGAACTCACTATTAACTTCATAATCTGTTTTAAATCATTTTTGAGATTCTATGAAATAATTCCCCCCTTTTACCACTGACGATGACCTCTTGAGGTCGAAACGCTTTTGGCATTAGTGTCATTTATAGTGTTAACAGTTTGTTTGCTTATTTTTATATTCGATAACACGTGACTTATTGTGGAGCAGGAACACCGTAAGTCAGTTTAACGACCACTTTAAGAAATATCATAAATAGACCTGCTCTCCGAGATTCGGTAGCCGGTTTATGTAGGAAAATAAATTTATCAGCAACACATATCACAATTTTAACGTCGTTATACTAGCGTAAAGAATTAGAATTTTCTATAATTATCTCCCAACTCGGTTGTTCAAAAGTAGTTTGAATGTATTATGATTACATTCGCTGTGCATTTAAACCAATGACTTGAGCGCCTCTGGTGTAAAACTCCAGTACTACTGTTGAATTTTACGAGAAATGAATTTATTGAAAGCCAGCTTGTGACTCAGGACAACTAGACGCCACAGTTTAGATTCTGGTGAACGCACCGGAATTATTACGCTGTGCGATCATTTCCCAAGCTGTTCCAGTGTTTCTGTACACGTGAAATATTTTGTCTGGATGTCTACTAACGGTGTCTCATAATTATGATAATCGATAAGTCTGTACCATCCTTACTTGGTCTATGATGTCAAATGAACCTCTTCATATAAAACTAACTTGTGTCATTTCATTACATCAATCCGTCCATTCAGGGGTGTTTTTATCCATGGGCAAAGAGCCCCCTGATTATAGGTGCCCACAACGATATAATTTCAGTCCATGTTATACTGTGGTTCGAAGAATTGCATCAGATGTTATGAAGCGTGCAGACACGCGAAGGACATACAAGTTGTTTGTGCGTAGCTACATTTGTCATTTAACATTTCCGGTTTGAATGTATAGAATGTTAAGTATTACATTTTATAAATAATTTAAAACCGAAATAACTTAGGTTATGTATTTTTTTTATTTCTTGTAACGCTTTTGTTTCTGTAAGTAATATTTTACTGGTAATAAATTACAAGGTATACCATTGTCTTCAAGCCGTCTATCAAATAGCCCCACATTCCATACTGGGTCATGGTACTAACCCTGACCTCTGCAGGTTATACGTAGAGTTGCTCAATTTTAAGACAAATACGTAGTCAGTAGTTATAACTGAGAGGCTTATGAGATGTTGAAAGGTGTTTCTGAGAACGTTTTTTATATTGCCAGTCTCATATTAACATGGTTCCTTCTGTTTATATTAGCATACCTTTCTTTATTAACATGACCAATTTTCACGAGACTTTGTATGATAATTATCTATGCCATTACATTGTACATTTTGTTAGCGTCACTAAAACAAAGTGTTTGACGCGTGAATGTGGTATGGGAGCGATCCTGTTTAAGTTGGTATAAAAGTAAAGTAACTCGGTCTCGAGTATGTATAGCTCCTACTCATTCTTAAACTCGGCACTAGATGGGACTAGTGGTCAGCATCAGGCTCTGGCCACGCCTTGTCCCCGGGAAAGGACCTTGGTACCCATTGGTGATCCCCAGAACCGGTATAGACGCAGAGGCTAGAGGAAAAATCCTCTGTCCTCGTCAGGGATCGAACCCCAGTCGTCAAGCCTGTACTATACTGACTGAGCTATCCCGGAAATGATGTATCGTAATAGTTCTTTGAAAAATGTGCAACTTGTTTGTCTGTATCCGTGTCACGAACCTCAGAGGGTCTCGTTCTGCCTTCAAACAGCCCAAATTTAACCGTGAGTTTGTCAACATATCATCTTGTCCTCAATAATAAAGACAATATTTGAAAGAATTTAGAAACTGTACGCATTGCATACAAATTCTGAACCATTCTCCAGAATCTGACCTTTGGCCTTTAACCAAGATAATATAGTTATCATGGGAACAAAGATCGTTTAGTGATTATCCACCCAGTCACATCGGATCACAAAAAAAGGCTTGTAGGTCTTCATGTGAAGTGATATTCGTTGTTATTGTTATTCTATTTAGAACAAAACTGGTATGTTTCGAAAACATTTTGTGCAAGTCCCTGATAAAAAATGTTGTGAAAATGTGTTAAGTCGTTCTGAAGTTGCTTCATGCGCACAGACGAATGGATAGATGCGCAGAAGAGTAATTTTAATAGACGCTCCTTAAGGATCCGGATGCATCTAAAATAAACAAATAAATATAAATAGTAAAACAACGTAATTATCGTAAAGTGACTTCAAGATTGGTTAAAAGGTTTTCACTGTTTAAATTGTTCATAATGGACATGTGGACGCTGTTGGGAAGCAGAGAGTGACGTAATCATGTTAAAGGAGACAAAACTTGTAGTGTGCACCTGGACCTCCAGAAATGACGCTGCACTAATAAGAAAGAATGACATTGACTTCGTGTAGGATGGTACTCTGACCTGTTCAGTTCGAAAGCACAAATTTGGAGCTCAGAAGATTGATTAATTAATTTTAAATTTGGTGCCGTGGTCAATAAAGAGTATAAGCTATACCTCCGCTCCCTCCAAGTGCCTGCATAGGCATGTAGCGGGACGCTTTACTTTACTTACTTATGACACTTTTGGTATACAATCGAGGTTCATGGATTACGTCACAGCAATATTTACCACCAATTAATGATGTATCATGGTTACCAAGCGTTATGCATATGTCTTCGTAGTCCAAAGATTAGAACGAGATTATTGGCCGCTAGAATAACAGATCAAAGATTAGAACAAGACTTTATAATTGGTGAAGTGCCCACATTGCCGAAGGGTAGTGAAAAGCGGATTATAACAAAGACAAAAGCAGGATACGAACTTTTAAGGTAAGGTTATTAAAACGTGTTAACCGAATATACTCATTTCCGTAAGTGAGAAGTAATGACATTTGGATTTGGCTATTGAAGATAAAATTGAAACATATCGAGAAATTTAGAACATTACTTTTTTAATTATCCATGAGGAATAAAAGACGGTGAATTGAAGTCATAATAGGCTCATAATCTAGTTGAATAGCAAAAGAAGACTAAGAAGAAGAACAACAAACAAAAACATTGAATGGAACGCACCGCATCAGCTGGTTATGGTGACAATTGAAGATACAAAGATGAGCTAGGCAAAATATCGCAATTAGAAGACATGGAATCGAGTATGCACGGGCATTTTTTATTCCCGATTTTGTTAGGTGCTAGTGTTTGGATCTATTTTGGAAGGAAGAACATGAATTTGTTTTGTGTGAGTGTGATGTTAAATGTAGTACTTCATTGAAAGCTGTATGATAATATTTCGATATTTTCGTATTTAACATTAATTTAATGTTTACATATCATAACATCTTAAATTGGGCAATGTGAAATAATGTATTGTGCTTAATTTAATGCCATAACTAACACAGTGGAGGAGAGGTTTCTTGAATATAAGTCACTCATCTGGTCAAGACAGTTTCCTGCTTTTATGGAACCCATAGTAGTATTACTGTGTTCAGAGGAACCAGACACTGTTCCTGTTATGAGCAGGAAAATGCAGGTTGTGTCCTACCATTCTATGTTTAAAATATCTATTTTAATAGTATGCCTGTGCTAATTTAATGCCATATTTTATCAAAATGCACAAAGAAAGTTATGAGTAATAAAGGTTGTTAATTAATATATGAATATTTAAAGAAAACAAGTGGAATGCGTTAATCTATGTATTTTCATGCACTGAATTAAAATTACCATTAGAACTTTGCTGTTTTTTTTCAGAAATTCTGTTAAGTCACTAAAGACATTTTGTAATTTAATTGTTATATGCCACAACATGAGTTAATAAATCCATAAAAATATATGAATTAAGGTACATGAGAATGATGGTCACATACAGTGATAATATTCATGACAAAATTAAGAATAAATTGAAGTCCATACAATTTTTCTGTCAGAAGAAAGAAGAACATTTGAAAGTATTTGAAAACAGAGTAGAGAATATGTGACCTGACTAGGATAAATGGGAAATAGAGTGTTACGTTTTCGCCATATGTTTTGTAATCTTTTGACGATTTAATAAGGCAGGTTGAGATGGACTACGCATTCATTAAAGAGGATGTAAAAATGCAGAAACATTGTTTTTTCCCCACAAGGTTTACAAAATTGTAAATCTGATTGAGATTGACTGAACTAAGTAGTCATGACATGGTGTAGAAACATTCATTAATGATGCATGAATGTTAATAAATAAAGTTGAACAAAGACCAAAAAAAGATTTTTGAGGACAGAAAGCTTTATGTCCTCTTTTCAACTTTTCTTCCTGAAAACATTAGAATCCAGCTCCTGATACATCATAGTTTTCTAATTTTTAACGATGGACAAAAGTCCAAAAGAACAGTTTTCATGATATAACACATGTGAAATTGTTTGTAAATTATTTATATCTACTTATAAAATCTAGGCTGTGCTATTTACATTCACTTTGTTAAATGTAATGCATTGCCTTGTTTCAGGTGTTTGTGACAGTGACAGGACAATGAGTCATTCTGATGTAAGTAACACTGGGAATATGCACGTTCATTTTCATTGTATTAAATGTCTCATTGATAAAACTTCCTGTGTAAGGTTACAGTTCAGTTTTTAACAAAAAGATTATTTATTTATTCTTTATGTAACACCACTATCAGTAACTTAGATATGTAGTATCAAATGATAAGACAATAAATAATTAAGTATAAATTATGCAATAGGGAGAGGTCATGGGACAATTTAATCTTTCGAGTTCTTGTTTACTATAAGCTGATCTTTTAAAATGCAGGTATACAAGCACAACTGTAATTTAAATAGCATCTGCGATAGTTTATATTCTGATATTGTCTGGATGATCTGAGGAAAACCACAAAAATGTAGTCAGTCTCTAGGCTGAGATTTGAACCTGCTAACTCCTGGATAAAAAGAAGGATTATTAATCACATGCCTGCAACATTCAGTACAAAAAAGTTCATAAGGAGGAATGTTGAGTCTGAATGTAGAGCTCTTCCTCTAAGAACCTTTGTATAACAAAGTGATGGGTCCCACAAAACAGTGTATTTATATAGACTTCTATTGTCAGTCTGTCTGCCAATTTGTTCATTTGAAGGTAAATAGGAAAGATTTCCCTGTGCTTGATTAAGCACCACACCATGAAGATGTGTGCTGAGGTGGCGATACAATTGTAAACACGCTAGATTGAGGTTAGTGGTCAACTTTGTACCCCAGAAATTTTACCCATGAGGGAAGAGCCTGCAGTATTCTTTGGATCATTGGATAGACAGCTGGATGGGCCCAAGTGTTAGTCTGGATGCATACATATTTTAAATAAATAAATTCTGAACCCCTACTTGCAGATTTTAAAATATTGTGTTGGAATTTTGAATTATTATGAGTAATATAAATACTCTATACATTTTGGACATTTGACAGATTTCTGAAACATTTTCTGAAGTGTGATTCAGTCACTGTAAAGTACTGTATGGGGAGGTAGAGCTGCATACATTCTTAACAGTGGCAATAGTTGGAGGTGAGTGGTTGGTTTCGTGCTCTGGTCATTTTACTTCCCAAAGGTAATAGTTTTATACATCCACTTGTATGGAGGCTGGGTGGACCTTAGCCAGCGGTACTCATTAGAAATTTATAGATAATGTGAAACACTTCATGTTCAGGTTGTGCAAAGAGCACGGGATGCTTTTGAAACAGGACGCACGAGGTCTATCGATTTCCGGGAGTCGCAGCTGAAACAGTTGCTACGGATGTATGAGGAAAATACCACCGAAATGATCGAAGCACTTGCAAAGGACCTGAAGAAAGTAAGTAGCAGTAACCTTACAACAAGATTGCTGTAATAAAATTTTTAGTGCCTTTATACCTGTTTGCAGTATGTTTATATGAAGACCAGAATTTGTCTATTTTGGCAAATAATGTTTCTGAAACAGAAACAGCAACTCTTTGTACATTTTAGCCAACTTTCTTTATTCCTGTGTTTCCTTGTCCACGCATCTGTCCCATTCCCCCCTCTGATAACTGAATCAATAAATAGATATTCAGGAAGCTTCCTATGCGTGTCATTTTATTGAAATGCTACCATACTTTTGTGGTTTTTATTCCCATACCATTAACAATATCTAAATGGTGATCATGAATTGCTCAGGCCTGTGGTAATGAATTGTTATAACATTTTTTAAGCTAATTTTTTGTAGAGCGTAAAACAATTTTGAGAAATTTAGCTTTTGGTTAGATGGGAATAATTAATGACCACATGACACCAGGAATGTTAAAATTCTTATGGGACTTGGTCATTGTATGAATCTTTTAAAGCCATGTTTGCATCCTTTGCTCCATCTGTCTCTTTGTCTGTGCATATATCAACTTAAGAACAGCTGATTGGATTTACATGAAACTTGATAGTGGGGGATTTTAGAATAATTTGCCAACAGTCCAATTTATTTAAGATTGGTGAACAATAATGGGTGTTTTGCATGTAGACCTACATACATATTAATATACAGAAGTGACTGGGTAGGGAATTCTTCTGCCATTGACAAACCTAAGTGTCAAATACTGAAGAATGCACCAGAATTGTTGCATGATGCATTAATTTCCTAACTTTTCATATGTTAAAAATTACATGTGACATGGCAGGAGACTGATATTATAGCTGCCAAATGTAATATAGTGGGATTCAGTTCTAATAGAAATATTGTGCAGAAATTGATCACTAAATTGTGTAATTATTAAGATGGCTGTCTTATGGTTTACAGCACCATGCAGTCTGGTAGAAGTTTACCAAGGCTTCAAAGATTGTTGCTGCCTCCATCAACAGAGCATGATGACTGAGGCAACAACAATCTTTGAAGCCTTGGTAAACTTCTACCAGACTGCATGGGGCTGTAACCCATAAGACAGCCGTCTTTTTACTCACCTCTGTGAGAACCTCGGATCGTACTTATATAATTATTAATTTATTGTTCTTGCTACAACTCACTGTTTAGAATTAAGCATTTTAAGGAAAGTATCATCCTGAGCTTTTATCAGAATGTCTAGTTATTAGCCTGTTGTCCTTGTTCCCAGGATAAGAAACACAATATTACCGAGGCTTCTGTGTTTGTTTCTCCAGTGGTTTGTGAACCAATTTGATTATTTTAACTGTATCACCTTATCTATGCAACTTTTACAAAATCTGCTTGATAGTGGTTCAAAATTTTGAGATGAAAATAACATTAGAACTATTTAATGATAATACATCTTCACTTAAAAGAGAAAAGTAACAGCAAGGTTATTGGTTGAAATCCATATTTAAACTCTAGTTTTTTTGTAATTGATGACATCAACACATTATCTCAGACAGAGGCAAAAGTAGTTTTTTTCAGGAAGAATACTTGTAATCCTGTTAAGATTGTGGTGCACATTATCATTTTATCTTCTTCCATTCACAGAGCAAACAGGAAGCCGTGTTGTTTGAAATCGAGTTTTTGATAAATGAAACAAAAAATGCCCTTTTTCATTTACGGGAGTGGACACAACCAGAAAAGGTAAGGTCAGATAGTGGTGTGTCTCGTCAAAGCCACTTTCATCACGTGTATCTAAGAACTCATGACTGTTCCATTTCCAGCCTCCAAAAAGTCTCATGAATGTCATGGATGGTGTGTTTATCTACAACGACCCCTATGGAGTAGTTCTGATAATTGGCGCGTGGAACTATCCTCTTCAGTTGACTCTGCTACCAGTTTCTGGTGCAATCGCTGCAGGCAACTGTGTCATCATTAAGCCATCTGAAGTTGCTACTGCATGTGCTCAGCTGATGGCAAATCTTATTCCAATGTACCTGGATCAGGTGAGATTACCAGAATGTTTTATGTAAGTGAAATGTACTTCAGTTTCTGTACTATGCAACTTGTTCAGATCTAACTCTGACAGACGATGTGTAGAGAACTCTTATCCCAGTGTTTCTGGCATTAGTGTTATTGCTTGTTTGGCAGAGAGTGAAGTTCTGGCCATTGAGTGGGTACTCATTTTCATGATCTAATGCAGGTTTTGGCTGGGAGTGAAGTTCTGGCCATTGAATGGGTATTCATTTTCATGATCTAATGCAGGTTTTGTTGGCCCAGGACAGGGTCCGGTGGAGGGCTTTGGTTAATTCGGTGATGAACCTTCGGGTTCGGTAAGCCATCTAGTTAGTTAGTTAGTTAGTTAGTTAATGCAGGTTTTGTGTCTGCCTGAAAAGTGTTTCTGGTAAAAGCACTGTGCATATTGTGATATTTCAGTAGGCGAGTGTTCTAGACATTGCAAAGGTGCCAAAACATGCACATACAGCAGTGTGAAATGTATAAATAAAACTGTGGTGTTAATTTTGACACCCCTGTACATACTGTAATTGTTAGTTTAAACCTGATAGCAACATTTGAAGTGCAGTATCGTTAGGTGTGTTCGGCATGGGGAGGCTCTTTCCAGGGTTATTTACAGCAACTCTGTTGCTAGACCAACAATTATTAATTTTGCCTTGCTTACAAGTAGTATGTTGTTTATAAAACATATGCTAATGACAACTGCTATATATAAATAATGAACGATACTTGCCAACTGTTGTCCTTTTTTTAAATGACTGTAAAACCACCATATAAAGAGGAATAACTTAGTTTCTTGATTTAGTATTTTGTGTGTTCATCTGCTGTGCTGTGTGACTCCTATATGTCTTCATCTATACTCATTTATGTATATTAATGTTGTGGATTGAGAGGGGAGGTAGGTTTTTGCTCTTTCTTTCTGTTGCTTTAGATAACTGCTGTAGTGGTAAAAATGAATATGGAACAGTAAACACTAGATATGAAACATGGTCTTGAGCAGAGTGTGGATTGTGTTTATTTCAACATGTTTTTTATGTTACCAGGAATGCTTCCATGTGGTGCTTGGAGGCATACCAGAGACTACAGAGCTTCTTAAGGAGCGATTTGATTACATATTTTACACAGGATCTACAAATGTTGGGAAAATTGTAAGGGCTGCAGCCAATGAACATCTCACTCCTGTTACACTGGAGCTTGGAGGCAAGAGGTTTGTGTTGAGTCATGCCTTATATTAAGGAAATTAAAAAAAATCTGCAGTGTTTGGAATATTTCTGTCGTATGATTAACAAAACTGTGAGACCTGGTCATACGGTTAGCTCATTCTGGGTTCCCACATAATAATAATAATTTAATCTGTTTTAACTTCATTGTATGTTTATTTAGTGTTTCGCCAAGCACCATATCATGCAGACGTATGAGTGTATAGCTCCAAACATTCTTAAATTTGACACTAGATGGAGGTGAATTGTTAACATATGCTCTAACGAGTTTACTTTCAGGAAAATAGCATCCAGCACTCATTTGATAGGAGGGAGGTTGGCCTTCAAATTTGATCTGTAGTGAAGGAAAAAGTCCTTGTTCTGCCAGGAGGAGACTATGGCTTTCCATTACGGATTGAGCTATCCTGGCTACTGTTCAGTTTTGTTAGTTAATATTAATTTAACTGAATATTCCTATTCATGATGATAGGAATAGGTTATCTTACTGTATGGTCAGTAGTTTGAAGTCTTCTACTGTCTTATGCATATGGAAGGGGTGAATTGGATATTGTGTTTGTATAAATTTTGGCTGATCTTATTACAGAATTATTTTGCCCCCCCTAATAAGAGCAGTCTCTTTGAATTAACATATGAGATCTGTAGATTTTGAAGTGGAAAAGATGCATCCAAACTGACACTGCACGTGTAAGAAGGCATTATTCTTGTTTCAGCCCAGTGTATATTGATAACACTGTAGACATGGAAGTTGCTGCAAGACGTATTATGTGGGGAAAGTGTGCGAATGCCGGACAGACGTGCATTGCTCCCGATTATATTTTGTGCTCCAAGGAAGTTCAGGAAGATTTTGTGGGAAATGCAAAAACAGCTTTGAAAGAATTTTATGGTGAAAATCCTAAAAACTCACCTGACCTATGTAGAATTATCTCTGACAGACATTATCAGTAAGTATTTATGTTTTGTTATTTTTATAACTTAGCTGGAATCCTTTTGGGTTACTTGTGTTCATATTAAAGACAGATTTGTATCTTAAAGAAGCATTTTTCTTGCTCTAGGCGGCTGGTAGCACTGTTGAACAGTGGAAAAGTAGCAGTTGGTGGTGAAACAGACCCTTCTGAGAGATTTGTTGCACCAACAATTTTGGTCGACGTCAAACCAACAGACCCTGTGATGCAAGAAGAAATATTTGGACCTATTCTTCCCATTGTCAATGTGGAAAATGCGTTTGATGCCATCAAATTCATCAGAAGTCGGTAATTTTTTACTTTCTACCATTCTTATGTGTTAAAAGCAGGATATAGTGGAATCCAAATTTTGAGCACTTTTATAAGAAATTCTAAAACAAATTCCAAAACACAGAAGCCCATGTCAAATGTAAAGTAAATGCAAATAAATGTCTTTAAAATAAAGAAATTTGTTACATCTGTTTATGTTTAGGAATGTGTGAATATCCATATTTTCAGCCTCTTAAGTCCCTTAAAAGTGGTTTTGAAGTCCAAATACTAACTAATCAGCACCTGTTAATATGTAATGAACTTTTTTTATAATTCATATTTTGATTTTCATATTAAGTAGTTCAGGTCTTTTTTACCTAAATAAATTAATTTTCATCCGTAAAACTTGATAAAAGAAGTCAGTATTTTAATTACAATTTCAAGAAAGTCTACATGAGTGCTATGTTTGCACTGTTGCGTACAGGTAGTTAATAATAGCGGCATTGGTACAATTTAGATTTAAATAAAGTACACTAAAGTTCATAATTAGTTTCAAAATCAAACAATATGCACATCCCTACTTTTGGTTGTGTGTTTTGATTTGTTTTATATTTTTCCGTAACAGTGAACATCCATTAAGCATGTACGTGTTCTCAAAGGATAAATCTATCCAAAACCTGCTTATTTCACAGCTGAGATGTGGCTCACTGTGTTTGAATGACACCTTGATGCAGTTCGGGGGTGAGTCCAACAAGAAAAGCAGTGACCTCAGATCTGGTTGAGGGTTTCTTGAACATTTCTCTTTTGTTTTAGCAGGTTATGGTACATCAAGTTTCTCTGTTGCTTTTCTTTGAGTCTTTGGTAACAAATCTAGTCTACACAATGTTGCCTATACTTCAAGTTGCCTTTTATCTTATAAATTGTAGCACTTCAAGTACAAAACAGACTAGCAATGTCTCTGACCTCACATATAACAAAGAAATCCGAAGCTACTACAAAGCAAAATGTGAATTCAATGAAATTTTAAAAATATTTCTATTTGTAATTGCAGTGTCATAGGTACGTGAACTGATATGGCATCCCATCAACATTTTCAAGTTAATGGCCTATGAGACTATTTACAGTAGCAGTTAATGTAAGAAACCAGATCTTAGATGACATTGGCATTACTCTGCATAACTTATATTCACAAGTTCTAAATGTTGATTTATTAGTGGAAAAATTTAAATAAAATTATTGAATGCAGTCTCTTTGACTCTCGAAACTGATGTTTATCATCAAATACTGTCATGAGACATTGGGACTAGCTCTTACTAACGGACCTAACTGAGTAGGTGCCCCTGCCCCAAATACTTGGTTGAAAATGGGTCTCGTTTTCGAAACGTCATGCACATTTTAACCTTGGATGATGGACAAAGTCCAGAAACCCAATAAACCTAACTGAAAATATATCCTGTTCAATAACAGTGTAGTGTACAAGATGTACATGTGATGAATTTCTGAGTTGTTATTTATATGCAAGTACCTATGTTAAACAATACCTGTCTGACAAAAGAGAATGTTCATTGTTTGTAATTCTATTATAAGCCTGTTTTACTGTTCAAGATAACCACTGTGCCCAAGACATGATTTTAATTAATTATATGCTTACTTTTTAGTAATACAGTAATTATATTTTGATTTACTAAGGAAATGTGAGATACTTATAAATTTTATGTCTCCTCATAGTTACTATTTACATGTAACATAATTCATAGATATAACATAGGTATTACTTTATATATTCTTGTGTAATGCTTTGAATCTAAATTCCTCTCATTGAATTCTTTTTTACATTAAATTTGAGACAAATTTTAGGCTGATTATTATGATTTCTTTTTCAGTTGACACTTTACCCTTTGGTGGGGTTGGCAACAGTGGCATGGGGTCATACCATGGTGTGCATAGTTTCAACACCTTCACGCATAAGAAGAGTTGTCTTGTTAAAGACTTTAATCGCTTAGCGGAAAAGTTGGCATCGTAAGTGAATTTTGTGATTGTATTGGATGTGTACTATATGCAATCACATCTGTGCACTGAAAGTTATGACGTGAGGAAGTAGGATGGAATGGATTTGTTCATTGTATAATGTGTGAATGAACTGACTCAGAATTCTCTGAAATTCTTATTATGTTGCATGAATAATAATGTCAAGTCCATACAATGTAGAATACAAACCGAATATTGTGGCTGAGTGGTTGGTACTTCTGAAGGTCCTGGGTTCAAATCTCAGCCCGGAGCCTGCTATCATGAGCGAGGTTTTTCATTGATTTGTCCTGTCCCTTAACACAAATGCTTCCATATCCTTTAAAATTTATTATTCGTTAGTCTGATTATCATTCAGTGCTGTTTAGCCTGAGCTACTGATAGCATAAAATAAACCTCAAACAAACCTATAGGAATTGCTATAAATTCTGTGTATGGAAAGGAAGAATTGAATACATTTTTTAACACTTTATGTGAAATTGTGTTTTTGGATGTGTTCTCAACTCGGGTACAATTGGTGAAGGAATTGCGCGAAAATAAACTGAAGCAGATGGTATACCAGTTAGAAACTACACCTAGTCAAGCATTATATAAGATTTTCTTGTTACCGGTAAGTTTAATGGGTGAATCTCCGCAGTTTAATCATCATCCAGGTCCATTGAGTTTATCACACCCTTTTGATTCTTGAATGCATTAATGTTGTTCTTGTCTTACCACTTCTGTTATGCAGTATATTATTCACACCAGCCTCTGTAAGGTCAACCTCTTGTCTTACCACTTCTGTTATACAGTATATTCTTCACACCAGCCTCTGTAAGGTCAACCTTGTTTACTGAGTCTTTGGTTATTTTTCAGTGCTTTTACAGATGCACAGATCATACAACAATAAATGGCAGTATGCTTGAAAATTCTTAATTATATAGGATGTAGTCATGTGGTTTAAACCTGTTTTAATGCAGTTCCAGAATTTGCCTTAAGACACTGAAGACAATTGTGGGTAGCTGCTATGATAAAATTCTTAGGAAACACGGAAAATGGTGGTGTAAAGTGAAAATCCATGAAGCTGAAAATATGCATACTTGATGACAGCGATAACTTATTGTGACATATTTTGTTTGCTTTTTTTGTGGTTTATTTAATATCTCTGTTGGTAGCTCAGACTATATAGCATAAAATTATAAAATGATTAATTATAAATTGGAAACGCAATGGATGGAAAGTTGTGCCCTGATTTAAGGCACTGTTCTGGCATTTGCCTGGTGGAACTGGGGGAAATCATGAAAATTTCAGTTAGGATATCCTGTCTCTTTGCTGAGATTTGGACCCCAAGACCTCCCACATATGAAAATAGGAGTATTAACCAGTTACCTATGACATTCTGTTTGTGACATTTAAATTACGGATGTATCATGAAAGAGTCTTTTAATATATTTTCTTTTATCCTTGTTTTTATAGTCGTAGATATCCTCCATATTCCGAAAAGAAGACGAACTTTGTGGGATTCATCATGAGAAAAAGAAAAGGCGTGAACCTGAGGTACCTGCCCCATGTCCTCATGTTTGCTCTTGGAATTGCTGTGGCTTACGGAGTATCAGCAGTTATCAAGGTACTAGAATTAACCGAAGGATAGTTGTGTGAAAAGCAGGGTGCCCAAATTTGTCCATTTTTCTGAGCTTTAGACTAATTTTTATAGAGACTGGAACATAAAGCATGAAACCTCGTAACATTGTGCTATGCATGTCGGCAATTCTCACAGTGAACGGATGTTTATGGATGCTTGACTTGTGCAATGTGAGGTTTTCTATGGTGGTGAGGAGGATGGTACTGATCTTCTGAGTTTAGGCATCATATAGGCTCACTGTTAGATGCTAACATTTCATAGAAACATACCGTTTCCATCTTTGAGGCTGAAATGATGATGCTGGGAACTAGCGGGTTTTATATAGGGTTAGAGGAAGCTTGTGGCTAGGGAAGTGGGCCCACTTTTCCAAAATGTTGGCATCTTCTTTTGAGTCTACATGATGCTGAAACTGAGGAAGAACAGTATTGTCAGGGTTAAAGCCTTCATGTATGGTATAGAAGTCCACTTCTGAGGTGGGGGAACATATGAGGTAGACTGCTAACTCAAGCGTATGATTATGGCTTTTAGAGGTACAGATTAAATAAGCTTGCTGATGGCTCACATTTGTGCCCAGCAATATTTAGCAGCACAATAACATTTTCCTTTACTGCATTGCACTGAAGTTGATCAGTCATTCAAGGAATCACAAGCATACACCATTCGCTGTGCAAGATAAAATTAAGTGCTCAAAGTTCATTCTGAAAGAGGCTTTTTGTCTTCTCACAGCATTTTTGCTATCTAGGTTTAATATGGTGGTCTGGGTAAATTGCCACTAAATGACTATCGTTGGATACAGAGTGAATGTGTTCATTTTGGCTCACATTCAGAAACCTTTACATTTTACAGAGGTGAAAGAAGGGAAAAGATTACATAAATATCTGTAATTTAACTGGCCAGTCTTGAACCTTGGACCTGTGGCACAGATTCCAAAATCATGCTGCTAGCCCATCAGGTCACCACCACTGTATTATAAATACCTTCACTGTTTTTGTGTTAAAATATCTGTTTTGGTCCCCTATTATAATTTCTTGGCTTTGAAATATTAAAGTGGAAACTGATTTTTGGTATGCAGAGTACTTGAAAATGATGTTCAGAAATCTTCAGATTTTGACTTTCGTTGTCCTTTGTGGACCATACCTTTCTATGCCTGTTGTCTGATAGGGAAACTAACTCTGTTGCTTTTGCAGGCTGCTGGACATGACGACAGTGTGACCCAGTGAGGTTTGCCAGTCTGATACGGAGTTCGCCGCAGTGTACAGATATGTTTTAATCAATTTCTTCAAAAGAAATGTAAGGGATTTAGTGTCTCTCTTAATGTACTATTGTTCAATCTTTAACAGAATACAAGTTTTTATATTTTTAAGTGAATCATATTTAGCACTGAAGTACCATATTTACCTGACTTGATATATTTAACTTATATTTATATTCAGAAATAGTAGTTTGTTTTATATGTACAAATTAAGAGAAACACTTGACATGACTCAAATGTGTATGGGGAAATAGATATCTGGCAGTTGCATACTTCAGAAACCTCACATCCATAGTGTTAAAGATATATTTTAAAAGTAGTAATTGGATTTTCATTACTGTTGCACCATTCTAATGCTCGCCACTTGTAATTCCACCACGATACGATAGGAATAGAAATGAGAAATATATCAATAACAGTTACTTGAAAATTGCAAACACTGCCAGTTAGTTAACTGGATATCTGAATTAGTGGTGATTGGAGACATACACATTTCACTGGCAAGCAGCTGTGTAGATGGCCAAGTAGCTATTAACCATGAGATTTAAGGTTTTCACGGCAGTGATGATGATGATCTGGGTTTTGGTGCCATGTGGACTCATCGGTAGATGACAGCATTTCGGGGAAACATACTCTCTCCATCTTTAGGGCTAAAACCCTCTGTTTTGTTCCTTTAGTATCATAAATTTATTTTAATTCTGATTATAACTTCTGTATTCATTAATGGAAGTTTGTGGCTTGATGAGTATGGATTAATAACCAAATGTCAGAAATTAGTAAGTTAAAGAGTTATTGAAGGTGACTATTCAGCTACATATAAAATGTGCAAACAAAATTATTTTAACGTCAACAAATTCGTTTCAGAGCTGGTTTAATACTAAGCAAGCATTGCAGTCATGTCAGCACACAAAAGGCTAAGATTATTTTATTCCTAAGTTCAAATTTGAATGTACAGAATAATGAAGAGCCTGTCACACACATGCACACAGACAGAGATTGAGACAAGCTGTTTCTGAAATAAATGGCACCAATTTAAGGGCATGTTACATGCCCAAATTCAATTAACAATTTTTGTGTTAAAGTGCATGAAAGCATAAGTTCAACCCTGAGCACTTTTCCTTGTGACTGCTATAGAGAGGCAGAAGGAAAGTGAAGTAGTAAAATGATATGTCTTTAAAAATTACTGCCAGGAAATGTGGTTGTCTCATATCTGAGTTTATCATGTAGTCAGGTAAATATGGCATGTAGGTTTTATTATAGCATTGTTATTAAGATAAAGATATTCTATAAAAGTCATTCTGTATATGTTATTGTTTCTCACTCCAAGTCATTTCAGGTGACATAACAAGAAATGTAATGATGTAAAACATTTGGCATGGAAACCTTAGTGAGTAACTAAAGAGTTGAAATGAGATGTTTCCTACATTGTACATTTGAAGGTGACAAGTCTGTGATAAATTGTAAAGTGTTAAAACACTTAGGTCTGATCTTTCAAATGCCACATCTGTGTTACAGATGGAGAATAATTTTCTGTTCTATTAATGGTCTGGAGCATATATGTTATGTATTAAAAATTTGTGATTAAAGTACTACTGTCAAATCTGAACATGTTCCTGTAATATTCCACAAGTTGTTTGAATTTCTGCAAAAGTTCTTCTGATAATTATTGTTAATACAAAGCATTTTGAAGAAGTTATAAAGTCAGAACAGTTTTACGGTCTGTCTGTAAAGGTTGCAATGTGAAAATGTCACTCAGAAAGTGACTTGTGTAAGACCAATATGAAGTAGGGAAAACAATGTTAAAACAGACTTTCAGTACATGGGTTTTGGCACTGAATTAAGGTCATTTATGGGATCAAATCTTGTAATAGGATTTTGGGCTAGAGTGGTGTTGAACATGTGGTTTCTAATATGATAGCCAGTTAAAATAACCAGAAAGTGATGTTACCCTAGATAAAGCAGTTTATAGCTTGGTGCAGATGAGTGAATCATTGTAGGATTTGAGGTTTTCAAGGCGGTGTGTTTGAAGATGGCTGTCTTCTGGGTTGTGCCGTGTAGTCCAGCAGAACTTAACATAATGAAACTGTTTAATGGGAAACTGAAATGTAGTCAGACAGTAGATAGTATTATATTAGCTGACGTATAAGCATAAATACTGTTTTTTTTCTTTTGCATATCTGTTAAAATTGTGACTTCCACTGTTCTTCCTTAAATGTTTAACCCAAAGTCTTGTCCCATTGAATAATTTTGGGGGATAATATCCCCCAAAAAGAACAATTCTGGAAGAACTGTTGTATATTTTTCTGACCATTTATTTTAAATCATCTGCAATTTTTTGAAAAAACCTTTCTTCAACAGAATTCAGAAACAAAAACTTTGGGTCTTGGAGCTTTTATCGGGTTTAGTTTCCAAGCTACATAAAGTTTTTAATGGGGCTAGAACCATGGACAAATGTTCCAGGATGTAGCCTTTATTCCTAATTTTGGAGCCGTTCTTCTACCGTGCTTATTTTTACAGCTACAGAAATCTTTACCTGTACACAAACCTAGGGCATATTTTCGGGGTTACGACCTCTGTTCCTATCTCCCCGTCGATACAAACTACTTTGGCGCTCATCTATCGTGTTTAGTCTTCGAACTGTATGACACCACCTACACCCGGACATATTTCTGGGGTCTTGTACTGAAGTTTTTTCCTTTCTAAAATCTCTTCTTGCTTTCATGGCATAATCATGTAAAGTCTGGGGCGAATTGGTTAATACCTTTGCTTGTTGTTCGACACATGGTTAAATCACAACCACTGATTGTAACATACACAACATGTAACATGTTAGTAATAACATGCCTACGCTAAACATCAAAGTATACATTTATTTCACAGCACATATGAGCTGAGTTTGGATTATTCAATTCGAGTGCCCAAGATCGGTATTGTCGATTGTTATCGACAATTATATCGAGATTGATATAGATAATTCATTCGATTGCATTGCAATGCATTATTTTCAGAGTGGTAGGTGTGAGGCGCGCTAAAGCGAAAGGCACGTTCAGAGGGGCATGGGTATTTAAGAGATAACACCACTAGTAATGTTTTATCTGATACGGGTCACACGTCTTGTAGGTGGAGTTCAACGATTTTAATACGGAGGTAAGGAACTTCACGTTTTGTTCTAGTTAGAGTGAATAATTGGAAACACCATTATCTTTTTTCATTTAAAATTTCGAAGTGACAGTAGTTGAGTTATATATTTCTGTAAGCAATGTACTTATCATTGGCATGTATTTCGTTGTATTACAATATCTTCCTTCACGTAATATGGCAAATTAATAGTGTACTTTGTTCGTTTCATTCTGAGGTACTTGCAATTTGTAGGTTTGTGCTCATTTGTTTTATGGCCCCAGTATTTTATTTTCTGTTCTTCTGCTGTACTTTCTAGAAGGTGCAAGAGAACATATTAAGTAAGGCTTGTTGCACGGTCAGTTGTAATTTCTTTATCATTGCGAATATTCTCGTATATATCAATGATCTGCCCCAACCATCAATTCTCATTCTAAACCTATACTATGTAAGACTTGAGGTTCTCACAGCGGTGAGTATGAAGACGGAGGCAGTATGACCTCTGAAACGTTGGTTAACATCAACCAGACTACACAGCGCAACAATCCAGAAGACAGAAATCTTTAAACCTATACTCTTTGCTGATGATACTAATATTATTATTTCACATCCAGAAATTGACTGTTTTCAAAATTGCATAAGTGATGTTTTTGCTAGATTGAACAAATGGATTAAAGCCAATAAACTCTCATTAAATTTTGACTAAACAAATTTCATAAAAATTTTGTACTAACAGAACTTATGTAAATCTGAATATAGGGTACGATGATAAAATAATCGAGGAAACAGAAACAACTACATTTCTTGGTCCACAAATTGACAACAAATTAAGCTGGGAAACACATATTCAATACAGTATCCCTAAACAAAGCTCAGCATGTTTTGCTATGAGGACAGTTACAGCACTCATGAAAACAGAAACTTTAAAATTAGTTTATTTTGCTTACTTCCATTCCATCATGTCTTATGGTATCATTTTCTGGAGGAATTCAACAGACAGCAAAAAAATATTTTGCACTCAAAAGAGAATCATTAGAATATTGGCAGGCACTAAAAGGAGAGACTCTTGTAGGGAATCATTTAAGAAGTTTAATATTCTTCCAGTACCCAGTGAATTCTTGCTCTCACTATTATCATTTGTAGTGGATAACATGGAAAAATGTCAAACAAATACAGATATCCACAATATAAGAACAAGATACAGATACAACCTTCATGTGCCAAAATTCTAACCTCAGTAAATTTAATGGAATTAAGTTATTCAATAATCTTCCACCTGCTATCAAAAGATTAAATCATCATATAAAAATGTTTAAGCCAGCGTTAAAAGAGTATATCCTATCTCACTCCTACACAGTAGAAGAGTTTATAAATACATGTAAGTAATAATGGTGATGGTTCTCATCATAATTATTTTGCTGTAATGCTGTAGTTCCAAAAATCTATCAATAGCTATTATAACTGTGTATTTATATTTGTACTAGAAACAAGTATTGTATTTGTGCTATGACCTGTTCTACATCCTTGACTTAGGCCTATGAAGGATCTATGGATTGTAAATAAATTCTATTCCATTCTATACAAACAGGCCATGGCTGCTTGCTCGCCAGTATATAATTTATAATCATTAATGAAACTTTTCAGAAGAGAGAATGACATTTGGAATGGCTGCGTGGTTTCTATGTGATAGAGAAAGTACTGAATTTGTTTTGAGATTTTGTTGCAATATTACACACAAGCCTTGCAAGAAACATGTAGGACATAAATTGTGGAATGGGAATACTGGTATTTATTACTGAGTTGCAGATATAATTTTGTTTCCTTGTTGGTGGTGACTGTTCATGAATTATGCATCTCTTTTTAATAACGTTTTTGATGTGAAATACTCGTATCTAATAGTGGTTCTTCATCTGGTGTATTCTAGACACATTTTATCAGACATTCTCCACACTTTATTTTATGTAATGTGGTAAAAAAAAATATTTACTTTTTTTACAAGTACGTCTCTTATGGATCTTGACCTACAAATTGAGTGCACAGTTCATTTCTTGGATAGGAGTACATATCATTGCTATTGTTATGATGCAAGTATTGCACTAAAGCTAACTAGTGCTAGAAGTGTGGCAAAGAAAGTGATACAAGACAGTAATATTTTCAAACTTTCGTCCAACAAATAATGGACTTTCTGTGATCTTCTGTAGTACCTTGTGTTAAATGTGCTACCAGGGTTCCAGGACGACGGGTTTGTGTGGTGGGGTTTGATGCATTATTTCATCTTACCAAATTTACATTTGAGGATGTGGAAAACTTTTTGTTTCCTCCTTTCAGTTAACCTCATTTACAGCAAATCATATAACAGTTTACAAAGTTCTGTTAAATGAGTCACTTTTTAGCTTGTTTCTTAACTATGTTAGTGAGTTAGCATGGAAATACACCACAGCTTAACACTTACTTGTTTACCATGTGAAGAGAACCAAGTTGGTGGAGTCTGCATCTCAAGATGTCAGAAGTATGTACGAGAATATTAATCATTTTGAGTACCTAATTCACTAATTAGTTTCAAATGCAGTGGAAACCAATTCTGTACATTTCGGTTAACTGTACATAGTGAAGAAACGATATGCTGTTTTTGCAAATCAAAAAATGCTTGTTTAGAGCATCGATAAGAAGTCTGTATCCTGACATCAAATTATATGCCTGATGTAAAACATTTATTTTATTATTATCTGTATCATTTGTATGAAATATTTTTCACTTTGGTGTGAATTTGAGATAATTATAAAAGCTAGTGTAAGTCTTAAAAGTGACCAGGTAGGTCTAATTGCCTGATAGTTTACCACAGAATTTTAGTATCTTTAATAATCTGGTGAATAGTTCAAGAGCCATAAGAAATCTGACAAGACAGTTGAACAAGCAACATGCAGTTGATTGGATAACAGACAATATTTTCTATTACAGAATCCATCTGTGTCTGTTATAACTATGGTTTATTTATTCAGTAACATTTTACACATTGTTTCACTGTCCATAATCAGTACACTTCATACAAATATGCACTTTCTTTGTATATTGTATGACACCAGCAAATATTAATATCTATAAGATTATAAGTAGGTAAAATTGTTATATAAAATGGTTTATGCAATACACAATTGTTAAAAATCTTAGTAAAAATTATGTCTAGTTGTGCACTTACACGCTAAACACAAAATATATATATATGATAGGTTTTCTATGTTTGAAATTTTTCATTTAGCATACCTAATATATAGCCACGGTGGTCTAGCGGTTAGAACGCTGGCCTTGTAATCCTGGGGTCTCGGGTTCGATTCCCGGCGGTGCCCGAATTTTTAACTTGTGTTGGGCAAGGCCGTGGTCTAGGCAACACGGAGTTTTCCTCCGTGGCATCCCAACAATTACTCCATTCACACACAGAAGAAGGCAATGGCAAACCACTTCTGGATCATCTGCCAAGAACGTATATGAACAGGTCCCAGTCCGAGAAAAGGATGGAAGGATCCTGTTCATATGGACCTGTCGTCAGACAGAACACTAAATAAAAATAAAAATATACCTAATATATATAATTTATGTGCAGATATGTGTGCTTATACTTGTCTATATTGACTAGAGGGGTCTTTGTTTCTGTGCATTTGGCAAGCAGAGAACTTCTGTTTGATTTACCTACAACCTTTCATGCCTCATCAAGGGTAATGAACCTTATGCTGTATTCCAGAACTGTCATGACCTTGAAGCATCATAGTCTTCTTATATGAGGCACTATATGTAACTAGTCACTAAATGCCAGAAATTAATAATGTGAGAAAATACATTTAGAAGTGCAGAAATTGAGGACACCATACTTGGACATAGTATGGATCTGTAGTGTAATTGGTGAGTGAGAAAGATGGAGGGTAGAGATAGCACGTTTGTACTCAGAGCTGGGACCTACCAAGACTCTCAACATTGTAAGGAAGGCATGTCATACATGTAGGATTTGAAATTTTTATGGTGGTGAGTGCATAGATGGCTGTCTTTAGGGTTGTAGCTTTGTGCAGTCTCGTGGTAGTTTACCAATGATTCAGTGACCCCTTTCTGCCTCCATCTTTATGTCATACTGAATTTCATGTCTGCCACAACTGAATATCTTCATTATTCATGTCAAAGAGAAAAGGTTGGATATTAATGTTACATACTAAATTTATTTTGGCACTTGGAAAGTTGTAGCATGGAATATCATGTTCTTGCCTATGATGATCATAATGACAATACATTGTTGTCATCATCATCATCATCATCATCCTTCCAATATGTATTAACTGATCAGGCAGTGGTAACTGAGACATACCATACAATACACATTTCCTTTGCTGTGTGCAGCCAACTAGAGACTGTTGAGAAGTGGCCATAATTGAAGTACATTATTTATGCACATTTCTGAACCCCTCTCTGTGTCAAATGGAAGAAAAGTAATATTTTTGTAATAATTTCATTTAATACACTAATGTATATTAACTCTAAATACATTTTTACATCTCCCCCTCCTGTTTGTTGCAGTGATGAGCAGATTTATTCTGCCATACCATATTAAGTTGAAAAGTTATTTCACATAATTTTTAATTTGGAAATAAATTGCATATTTATTAAAATAAGAATTAACATTAATTCTAAAACATTGTACATGGTTTATTATTTGCAATTGTTCTGTTTTGTTTTTTATGTATTTTCATTTAAGTTCGTTTCAAGTAAAATTATTTTACTTGGAACAACAAATGTAATTGGAAGCACAGAAAATCAGTTGTGCACACACTCTGTGGTTGTACAATGCTTGAATTACTTTAATTTATTTAGACATTTGGTAGAACTCTTTGGATGAGTCATCAGCCCATCAAAAGGCCTCTACCTACACAGGACAACACAACACAGAGAAAATTACAGCAGACAAACATTCATACCTTTAGTTGTATTCAAATCTATGAACTTAGTGTCTGAATTATCATGTCTGATATCTCAGATCCTGCAGCCACTGTGACCAGCACAGTAACAGTTTACAAAATCATTTAAGGTAATGAATGTATATAGTGTCCAAATTTAAAGTTTTCACAACATTTTTAGTAATATGATTACTTTGTTCTCAAAATGCTGGCTGTTTCTTCACCAGCTCAACCAACACGGCTGACAACCTGTAGTGTTTTGTAATTGATGTTAATTCTGATTTAATTAAGTGAACAGTTTCATTGTAAATATAAAATAACATTAGCAGTTCCACATATTATATGGTATGCTGAATCTCCAGCGGTGGTTGTATATTTCCAAAATGTTTGGAGAGCTATATAAAATAAGCATTGAAGTTACTGGTGTTATTGTATAAATTTTTAGGTTTGAAATACAACAACACTGAGCCCTAATAATTCTACTTGTTTTTGTATAGAATATGAAAGGTGTTCGGCTTCGAGTTCGTGATCCCAGCACTGATGTTATTCCAGAACATCATGGAGCTCGTCGAAAGTCACGAAAATATCTGCTTCCTACTCCAACATCTCACTTTATTGCTGTGCTTTGCTTCCTAGTGTTTATATTTGTTGCAATTGAGTTGGTGGAGAGGAAACTGCCGACACCCCTCAGATTGGTTGATGCCCCAAGTAACCCTGGGAAGTTTATAGCTGAAAGGGCCATGAACCATTTGATGAGGCTCACAGATATAGGGCCTAGAACTACAGGAAGCTATGAAAATGAAGTGCTGGCTATCAAGTTCTTTGAAGAAGAAATTGGCAGTATCATGGACCGAGCAAAACCAATTCATAATGTGCAAGTGGATATTCAGAAAACAAGTGGGGCATTTCCGCTCCATTTCTTAGATGGAATGACAAATGTGTATAGAGATGTTCAGAATGTAATTGTTAGAGTGAGTGCCAAGTATGCCGAGTCTGCTCACAGTCTTCTGGTGAACTGCCATTTTGATACTGTTTCTGGCAGTCCAGGTGAGTCTCATGATGACATCATTTAATTTTAAGTAAGTAAAGATGATTGTCTTCTGGGTGTAATGTTGTGTAGTCTGGTAGAAGTTCACCAGCTTGCTACTTCACTGATGATAAATATAGCAAGGACCTCTGAAATGTTGATAAACTTCTACCAGGTGACATGGTGCTACAACCTGGAAGACTGCCATCTTTACTGAGTTAATTGTTTAGGTGAGAATTTATAATAATTACAGAGGGAATTTGCAGCTTTATTGGTTGAAATTAATATTGTGGTGGAGT